TTCATTTTGCACTGGGCCCCACAAATTATGTAGCTGGTCCTGCCAGACAGACAGACAATTTCAGTCTGGCAGGGAGACAGACCTTGCGCTGAATAACTATACTGTATAAACCTCCTCTTCGGCCCAGTGTGGGCTTCCTCTCCTGGAACCCCCCCTTTTCCAGGATCAGGGTCCCCTGCTGGTGTCAGAGCCCTCTCTCGAGGTCTGGGGCAGTGTTCTGGAGCAGAGCTGCCACCCCAGTGACCCCAGCCTGTCTGCCCCCCAGGAGCACATTGCTAAGCAATTTGGGATGATGCAGTCCCAGATCGGCTACGACATCTTGGCTGAAGACACCATCACTGCCCTGCTGCACAACAATCGCAAGCTCCTGGAGAAACACATCACCAAAACCGAGGTGGAGACCTTTGTCAGCCTGGTGCGGAAGAACCGGGAGCCCAGGTGGGCCCGCCGCCCTCTACTGAGCCCACTCTCTCTTCCCTCCACCCCTGCCCAGGGTAGAAAGTCAGCTGCTGCTGGTTGTTAAAATACTTCTGTTTCTGCTGACAAATTGCCACCTCTCTGAGGCCCTGGTCTTCTAAGCTCCTCCCTGGGCCCCCTCTCCAATTGGGCTTAATTTAGCAATAAGAGGGTTGAGCCTGGTGCAGCAAGAGGCCCTCAGACCCTTCTCCGGTGACAGAGTCGGTGCTTGCATTGACTCAGTTGTTAAATTTTTTAATATCACTCCTGTCCTTGTGCCTCCTTTATCCTGATTCCCTGAACCCTCACCTAGCCTCACCCCCTGCCCATGGGCTGTCCCTGGCAGCCCGTCTCCAAACTTTGAGGAGAGAGCAGGAGCAGTTACTGGTCCAGGGAGCCTGTGCTGCCAGCTGGGGGAAGGGGAGGGTGGGCTTCATCCCCTGGGGCCAGTCTCTGAGTGCCGTCCCCCACCTCTGCTGTCACTACCCCAGGTTCCTGGACTACCTCTCCGACCTGTGTGTATCCAACCACATTGCCATTCCCGTCACCCAGGAGCTCATCTGCAAGTGTGTGCTGGACCCCAAGAACAGTGACATTCTCATTCAGACCGAGTGAGTGATGTCTCCTACCCAATGTCCTACACCCAGGGCTGCTTCCTGCCTGGCTCCCCAGCTGCCTCAGAACTTGGGCCCCATCTGGGTTTAGGCTAGAACTGATACCCATGCTCTCTGCAGATATGTGCCCTGTACCTGCTGTGTGCCCACTTCTGTGCTGGCACTGGGGGAGGGGCAGAGCAGA